AAGTTTAGAAAGGGAGATTGGTTGAGTTGGGGTGAGTGTGGGAGGCTGGGAGCAACACATCATCTGGTTTTTGTTATGCCCTAACTCCTAATTAAGAAGAGATGAATTGAAAGTTGTGTCATTTTTTTTATTGTGAAAATTGGGATTCTGAGATAGAGGGAGAGTGGAAAGTTGCTGAATTACTGGTAAGCTTGAATTACTTGTATTTATGAAGACTGCTACTGGAATCATTTTGAAAATGGTTTTTAATGAAATATAAGGAACAAGAGAAAAGAAGTGGTAGTTGTGTATGAATAGCTGAGGTATGTTATTATTAGCTATTTTTAGGTTAGTTTGGTAGCCTATTATCTGTATAAATTAGAACAAGGGTCATGGATATAAGTTTTCTATTTTATCATGGGTATATTTGGAAGAGATATAAATTTAAATGATAGGGATGCTGTTTCTGTTTACTTTCAATTGCTTATTCTGGTTACCTGTGAAGTGTCATAAAGAAAATCATGCTAGGCATTAAATTCTCTATTCATCGCGGGTATGTAAGATAGAAGACAAATAAACTAGGTATTTTTGGCTATGATCTATGTTTCTTTATAAATTTAATTAGTGTCTCATTTAGAATCCTATTTTTTATTGTAAACTGGTATGACATGTATCATTTTATGTGTTGAGGAAGGTATTTTGGTGAGTTTCTTAGGTAGATACTATATGCCCTTGTTGTATTCATAGTTATCATTGTTCTTATGTGGTAAACTCTTATATGTTCAACTTTAGCTTTTGGTCACATTTGAGTTGCTGATACTTGTTTATGGTTTTCTTTGCAAGTTATTGAGACTCTGGGATTTCTGATTTCAAACTTCTTGTTTCACCTTGATTTCTTTTTAAGTTACTGAGACTTTAGGATTTCTGATTTCAATCTTGTGTTTTCTCTTGTTCAGGAAATGGATATGGGGCCATGTCCAAAGGTCCACTCTTTGCAGCTGAGGAGAGAGTATCCTTAAATTACTCACAATGCTAGATAAGTGCTTTTTTAGTAGTAGGTACTTTATGTTTGTTTTTCAAAAGTAATGTCTTCACTGATGATATGCCTATGCTATGCACTTTTAGTAGTTTCTGTATTTCTGCATCCGTGGTTACTTAACCCTTCTTAGATATGAAGAAGCTAAGGCAAAAGGCATTGATAATTATGACAGAGAGTTGAAAGATGCTATTGATAGGCTCATTGTTGAGTGTGATAGGAAAATTGGTAGAGCTCTCAAACGTCTTGAAGATGAGGATGCAAAGGCTGCTATTGCTATATCAGTCTCTGAAGTTACTCAGGTTTTGGATAAGTCTTAATTTTATCTGTCTGACCTTTTTCCCACTTGGGACTTACAGATTTATTTATTTTCCATGTTGATGTTACGGACAGCAGAAGTACTAGAGCTTTCAAAGCAGATTAAGGAGAAATTGAAAGAAGCTTATCAATATGGTATCATATTTTTGCACTAGCTTCTCTTTTATTTTTTCAGGGTTGTCTCTAAGTTATCACCTAAGATTTTTTTCTTTTGAGAAAATTTGTATTTATTCATCCCTTTTTTTTTTTTGAAAGTTATCGTAGCATGGGAAGCATCTGGCTTCGTGTGTTATTTGTTAAGCTTTTATGATTTTATTTTTGTTGAAATCTATCTACTTTTGATGTTGAGTTTGAGATATTATTTCACTTTTATGCTTGATTCCTTGTTTTCAAATTGCCTTTCGAAGGTTATGTATAAAAGGAGGGTGGGAGCTGGGTGGGCTGCTATTATTTTCTATTGAGGATTATATGTACGAGGTGTGACTCTTGAATTGGAACAAAGATGTGTTTTCTGCCTTGCCAATTGATGACGAATACTTGATTTGTTTTCTTTGATTTAACTTGGTTATTCTTCTTTGAATTGATTGATTCAAGGTGCTGTCAATTGTTGTGAAGTTTTTGTTTGTAGGTTCAATAGGTTTCATAAATTTTAAAATTTTGATTTTATCGTATAGGGGGATAACCATAGTTGGAGTTTGACTGCTTTCCTCATTATTTCAACTCTAAGGTGTTTAATTTGTTATAAAAAGAATAATTAAATGATTCAATCAGTCTTTTTAGAGTGAGGAGATTGCCTCAGAATATCCATTTGTTTGGTTGATATATTTGGATAGTTAAGATTATGTCAATACGGTTGAATTCAGCCAAAGGCTATGTCTCCTCACATATTCTGGAGGACTTGGACAATGGTACCAAAGAATGGTGAACCGTTCACATCATTTGGTGTGCCTTTAAATGGCAGATTAGCATGATAAAGTAATGATGTGTCACACTTTCACTTTTGTCGCAGCCTTTGTAAATGAGTTTTTGAGAATTCTTGAGAAATTTCTCTTGTTAGGGAGTTTAATATATGATTGGTTTCAGTAATTATATCAAATCTGTAACATTGCATTGCTTGGCTTATTGACTTCCCAGTAAGCCATATCATGTTTGATTTTTGAAGCCTTTTTACAAGTGCTTTGTTTAAAGTGCTAAATGTTGCACATACAACAATTATGTTGCATAATATTTTCTTTGCCCTTTGTCTTAATATTTACTATGGATGAATTGTGTAAATTTTATTATTAACTTTGGGGTGTACATGATTTCTTTTTTATTTGCAGATCTTGAAGGCAAGACATATCTTAAAATACGAGCTCTAGAAGAAGTAGAAGAGCTTAGAACTAAAAGAGCAGATAAACAGGTACTTGATAGCTTCTTTAGATGTAGGATTTGAAATGGGTCTTTGAAAGTATTGATTTACTTATATCAGGATTTTTGATATCTACTGTGTATTAAGTCCTCATAATTTGATTCTTGTATAACATTTAGTCTCTTGGTATATATTATGTTTCTGTTTGTTGTTATAGCCAACACTGCTTTTGGCTGCATTCAATAAAGATTGGGCATCTTTGCCCCAACCATTGCCAAACCCTCTGTCTTTGGCACCACTGCCTGTGCCTGCACCTGATGCTCGAACCCAAGAAATGATAAATGAGAAGCTGAAGAAAGCTGAGGATCTTGGTAAGACTTAGGTTACCTGAACTCTGTTTTATATGTATGTAAAACAAGGAGAAAAACTTATTGAGTTCTTGATGATAGATATTTATTACGTAGCATGTGTTAAATAACATAAACATCTTGAGTTCTTGACGATAGATATCATATCTATTAGGTAGCATGTCTTAAATAACATTTTTTGAATGCTCCATTGTCTTTAAATTCCTAGAAATGGGATAGCAGTAATCCTTAAGTTGTTTCTAAGGTATTCATTATGCCAATTTATGTTCCTTCCTCTTTGTGCTTTTACCTTTTTTTCCTATCATAAAAATGTCAATTTCAGAAAATTTGTTTCCCCTGCCCTTCCAAAACAATTGTCAATGGTTGATAAACTCAGTGCTTTACCGTTTTTTCAATTAACACTCAGTGCCTTACATTAACAATGCCTTTAGGGTGGTTTCATTTAAAATATACAGAAAGGCTATTAAAAAAATTTAGTTACCCAAATATCTCTGAATGACAAAGATGAAATGGTAATGAAACTAATAAATCAATAAACTGAAGACTTGCTCTTGAATGAAATGGCTTCTTGTCCATAATGTTAGCCCAAAATCAATAGTCTTTCTGATTGATATCCATGGAAAAGGCTGGCAGTTGTATTAAGAAAAGGTTCCTTGGGGTTTGGATTTTAGTTATTTGGAAATCTATTTTATTTGTTTGAAAACTGTACTTATCTGTGTTTTATTGAACTGTGTTGTACAAAGTTTTCAAGAATACATAATATACTTTTCTCTATTTTATTAATTGTCTCTCTTGCTCTCTTATTGTTGTTTAGGTGAGAAGGGGATGGTGGACAAGGCACAAAAAGCATTAGAAGAGGCTGAAGCACTCAAGAAGGTTTCAATTTCTGAATTTAATAGTGTTATTTCTGTAAATTGATTTTTATTAAGTTGCACCATTTCCTTCTCCTTGGTATGCCTTATTTGTGGATAATTGTTTTTCCATACATTTAGCTCTTTGCCAGACAGGAGCCTGTTCTGGATTCCTCAAAGTATACTGCTGCTGATATTTGCGTTGTGTGTTTTGTTTTTCTTTCTTTCAGTTTCACAGAAGGAAAACTATGATAGCAACTAGATAAGAAAACTTAGACACACTTGGACCTTATTGGGAAAATATGAATTCGATTTGCATAATTAATGCATGAACAGTCCCCTGTCATAATTTGATTTTAGTATATTTTTCTTTTAGTCCATTTATATGTTAATATTTTATCTGCCCTAATCTTTTTGATCAAATTTTGTTTCAGACTGATCAAAAGCTACGTGTTTGTGATATTTGTGGAGCATTTTTGAGTGTTTATGACAGGTACGGCTTTTATCTTCTACTTCTTGATAATAGCCTTCTATCTTCTTTCTAAGGGCTTCAAAAAGTTAGTGTTTGGGCTTTTGACCCGGCTATTATACCTCCTTGTCACCAGCAGGCTTTTGGGCCCAGTTTTATGAGGATAACTTTTGCAGCTACATAATGTGCATCTTTTTCTGTTTTTGTACTTGTAGATCATGTGATTGTTAGATAATAAATATTTGGGAAACTGTATAATCTATAATGCATATTACTGTAATATATATATATATATATATTATATTTTTTCCTTTTTTTAAGCTTCTATGTCAAAGTGATGTGATTTTTCTTGTTCCTTTCAGTGACCGATGTTT